TAAAAAAAAAAAAAAAAAAAAAAAAAAAAATCACAACACACAAAACGTGGAGCTCTGAGTCCTGCACTGAATAAAAAGGTTGCTGATAATCCTTTGCTATATTGAGACATCCTTGGTTGTTAGAAAAATCAAGTTGGTATTCACAGAGAAGCCATTATGATTAAGAGAGACCATGTAAAAAGGGCATATGTAGCCTGCTCACACAAATGTACCAAGCCTCCTGGAAGTTCACATTCCAGTTCTGCCATCTAGCAGATGTGTGCTCAATCATGAAACAAGGGCAATACCAGCCTGTTCGCTAGACAGCTGTTTGCAGATATAAGGCTATAAATGAAAGCACTGCTCAGTAAAAACTGTAAACAGTACCCATCTGTGAAATAAACATGCAACATACCATTTTTCAAACACAGATGAGTAAACTAAATCTGCGGCCTTGAGTCGGTAGCCCTGGGTTGTCTTTACTGTACTAGTTTTGAGTCTGGGTGTTATTTGAACTTTTTTTTCTGGTGCCAAAGATTGAACTCAGGTCCTTGCGCTTTCGAGGCAGGTGGTGGAATCACTGGGCTAAAGCCCGGTCCCTATTTGAACTTTTTTAGTTTTGTGAAGAGGGAGGAGCTGCTGGTGAAAGTGGTCAGTGGAGGGGGTGTAACTCAGTGGCATAATGTCTGCCTGGCAAGTGTGAGGCTCTGAGTTCAAGTCCTGGTACAAAAAAAAAAAAAAAAAAAAGACTGGGGCTGTAGCTGAGAGCAGGAGTGCCCCTGAGTTCAGTCCCCGTGTCCAATCCCTAATGAACTGAAAGTGGTCGGTCAGTGATGCTGGTCAGGACAGGGCACATGGCAGGAACCAACTCAGTCAAGAGTTAGGGTTAGGAAAAATATTTAAAGATCTATAGATTTACAGTGGTTAAAAAAAAAGTTAGGGTTAGGGCTGGAATACAGAGAGAACACATTAGAAGACCTACAGTCCTCCCTTTATCCAGTGGAACTGTGGTGGAGCTCCATACCGGAGGCCCAGCTTCAATCCTCCTGCCTAGCCTCTAAGTGCACCGGGATAACAGACATGTGCCACTGTGCTTGGTTTCCTACAGCATTCTGTGTTCAACGAACACTTACATAGGTGAGCATGCTCACTATGTTGTCATCGAAATATGGGCCAATGGTTAACCAGTAGCCTAAGTCAGTCAAGAACCAGACAGTGCCACAGAACAGCCTCTTGGCTTCTAGAGGCCTACGGCTATACCTATACCAGCGTGAGCTGAGGTGAAACTGCCTGCCATATGATAAACACTGATGTCAGGGAAAAACAAAGTATGCCATCATCTAAGCAGAAATGTTTATGCTGGTTGGGCGTGGTGGCTCACGCCAGTAATCGGTGGAGCCAAGGCAGGAGGATTGCCGAGTTCCAGGCCAGCCTGTGCTACACAGTGAGTTCAAGTCTAGGTTGAACTATTTCTATACAGTGAGATCTTGTCTCAAGAAACAAAAGGGCTAGGGACTTAGCTCAGTGGCACCATGCCTGCCTCACAAGCGCAAGGTCTTGAGTTCGATCTCTGGTACCAAAAAACAAAACAAAACAAAAAAAAGAGAAATGTATGTGAGCATAGATCAGGGTGGAGGGAGGCAGGTAGTACAATTTTGGAATTTAATGTTTTTCGTTTCACATCCTTGAACGACCTAGGGGCGTTCTGAGATTGTGTTAATTCTACATACCTAAAAAGCGTGTGTGTGGCTGGGTGTGGTGGTGCGCACCTGGAATCCCAGCACTCTAAGGCTTAGGCGTGAGGATTGGGCGACATAGTGACTCAGCAAGACCTGTTGGAAAACAATAATGATAATAAAAGGGTGAGGATGTAGCTGTGTGAAAGCCTTGGGTTCAATCTCCAGGACTGGAGAAACAACATGTACTTGACTTGTCTCCCAAGAAGCTGCTTGTCCAGCCAGAGCAGGGTAGATCACCTCAGGCCGTGCTGTACCCACTCTGCTGCTCTCAGCTGAGGGCCAAGACCACGCCCGGTCCCTCGGTGCTACAGCATGCGATGGGCAGTTGGCAGAAACCCGATGTCTCTCTGAGCATGAGCGAGGACACTGCCAGTCCCAAGGATGGTTAACAGCCAACATCTAAACCACTGATCTAAATCAGGGAAACAGCCACACAGTCTACTCCCAGGATCCTGAGTCACTGTGCTTGATGTGTCATGGCCCCTCAAGCTGCCAGGTTACCTGTTGCTCAGCAAGTAATTCCCAGCAATAAAGAGACACTGACCATCCCAATGGGTAGTGTACCTAATACCATGTCCAGGACAGAATGCCACCCTGTGGCAGATATGCCAGCCAACAGCATCCTAACCAAGTGCTGACCTTGGGCGGAGGGTCAGTGTCCTCCACCAAACTCCCAGGGTCCCCTCCTGCAGCCTGGCCAACTTCCTCAGGGCCCTGCAGGTACATCAGCCATCTAGTTCATCCATCGGGAAGTAACCGCAATCTATGGTGCTATGCAGCGCCACACAGAGGCCCAAGGACAGGCGTGCACATGCAGCACACTATACATGGGAGCCCATTTTATCCCTACACAGTCTGGGTCCCAGGTTCCTGCAAAAAGTATGCCCTTTTTTCGGAGATGGAGTCCAGCTGGCCTTGATCTTGCTCTCCTCAGCCTCCACAGTAGCTGAGACTAAAAGTGTACCACCACGCCTGGCAGGTTGTCTCTGAGTGTAAACTGGAAACAAGACCCTGTGATCCAGGATAAGCCCACTGCCCAGTGAGCTGTGCATTACAAATGCAGAATCTCCATCCACAGAATTTGTAGTGAGGGGTTACAGTGATTACCAGGTCAAAACCAGGATGTCCTAGCTGCTCATGGTGGCGCACACCCACAATTCCCGCACTTGGGAGGCTGAGGCAGGAGGATCGCTGTGAGTTCGAGACCAGCCTGGGCTACACAGTGAGTTCCAGGTCAGTCTCAACTATATAGTGAGACCCTGTCTCAAAAAACCAAAAATCAACAACAACAACAACAACAACAAAAAAACCCAAAACCAAAAAAACCATGGGGTCCTCAAGTGGCATCAGACCAGCTAGTTTTCCTTTCATTTCCATACACAAAGCAGTAGGTGGCGTTGTTTACCAGGTCCCAGCTCTGACTTCCTTAATAAACGAGCACCAGAAACATTACTGCTCAGAGAGTCCTTTCACCAGGTCCTGTTAGCATTCGGAGGGGCTGCCTGTGGGTCGTGTGCCTGTACACAGAGACAGCACACAGACGGCCCTGGGAACACAAGAACTCTCGTGCTCCTGACAGATGCGGATCTCCCCCCAGGGGAAAGGATGCACAAATGCACAGATGAACCAGTTGCTTCTGCAAAGACATTTACTTGTCACAGGTCTAGACATCAATAAATAGGGCTTGCAGAGGAGGCACGCGTACGTGCAGGTAAGAGGCATCTTGGGCAGCAGGCGAGGACCATCCAATTCCCGCACCCAGGCCAGCAGAGCTCCTCCCCATGGGGTGGGGGCAGTCGGGCGGCCTCCTCCTCCCCAGCCACTTGGTTCTCCCTTTGGGCATCAATCCACCTCTGTGGAAATATCATTTTCTTGGGCCCGTGGGGCGGTGGGCCAATGAGGGCCTCAATGTCCTCATAGTTTATCACTTCCTTTTCCAGGAGGGCATTCGCCAGCTAGAAAGAACAAATAGGGCAGTGTGTGAGACTGTGAGACAAAGACAAGACAAGAGCCTTTGAGAGCAAAGCATCCGAGACAGGGGCTCACTCAACAGAGAGTCTCTGTCCCGAGAGGCACGTGGGCCTGGCTGAGAGCAGAGCGCCTCGGAGAGGCCACTTTCCCAGGGAAGCAGAGGCGAAGGCAGCTCAGGCACAGAAGAATCACTCCCTGTCTCACCCTGGAAATGATCTCCCAGCTGCCGGCCTCACTGATTTCTCTACTTCCTTCCAAAGTCTCTGCTTATCTGTGGCAGCTGCAATTTCCTTCAGCAAACAAGGCAACGTGTCTGTGGAGAGCGGAGGGGGCTGGAAGCCTCCTGCCTAGACTCGGGGCGGTGCTGACACTGCAGTAAGAGCAGGGGCTCCAGGGAGGGTCCTCAGAAGACCCTGAGTCTACCCCACAGGTCCCAGCCCACAGCTATGTCTTGCTGGAGAAGCTCAATATCCCACATTCCCTTCCTTCTGTTGGATCCTACAGCGTCACAACTGCCTTACGTTCTCCACTGAGTGACACTCCAACCATTTTCCACATTTCCTAAACAGTGGTAATCCTGACACACTTGGTGCCTCTGTGGCCACACTGTGCACACATGCTGTCCCTCGATCACAGGACTAGAACCTGGGCACCCCGGTTTCAGCCTCGCCCCTTCTCATCACATCCCTGTAAGTCCAGGTTCCCAGGCAGTGCTGCTCCCTGGTGTGCACCTGGCTCACAGGCAGAGGTGGAGGCAGGTGCCCTGGTCTGAGGCCAGCACTCTGAGGGCCTGAAACATGACATCACCCGGCCAAGCAGCTGCTGCCTTTCATGAAACAACAGGTAGCTACGGAAACAACCAGCCCGCCCCTCCTGCCTGTCTTCATACACCAAGAGCTGTCACCTTGCCTGTGGTCTGGGTGGCAGTTCACAGACCAGGAACGTAGAGGAACCCGCCTTAGCTGTCCTCTCAGACCCCTGCCCATACTGTCTCCTCAGGATGGCTGAGGCCATCAGGACACTAAGAGATAAGAGAAGCCCAAGGACGTGTGGCAACCCACAACCTGTAGGATCCTGGGCCAAAACGGGAGACTGGGAAAAAGCTGAGAACTCAGGTACCAGGTGTGAGCCTCAGTTAACAATGCTACTTACTCCATGCTAGGTCGAGGCTGTGGAAAGTATCTGCCAACAGGGAGCAGGATGCAGGGAGCAGGAGCATGCTCTGCACTACACTGGCAACTTTTCTATAAATCAAAACCTATTCTAAAACTTAAAAAGTTTTTGGGGGGCTGGGGACTTAGCTCAGTGGCACCACACCTGCCTCACAAGCACAAAGTCCTCAGTCCCCGGTACCACCAAAAAAAAAAAAAAAAAGTTTTTTGGAAAAAGACTAGACAGAGCTGACAAAAGGTTGTAACTGCCAGCACTGGTCAAAGCTGGATGACGCCTTGGGCACAGACCAGCACCCTGCAAAGGTGGTCCTGCCCATGCCCCTGCCACTCACCGCCTGCAACTTGTCCAGGTTGTCCAGAAGCACCTTCTCTGTGTGCCTGTAGGCCTTGGCCACCAGCAGCTTTGCCTCCTGTGGATCCAAAGCAGCAGCTGACAGCCAGACCCTACAGCACGTGCAGGAGGGGCAGGGCAGGCAGGCCTGCTCTGTGCTGCCTCAGGACACCTGCTCATCCTGCCGGCCACCACCCACACCGAAGGCAGCATCCATGTGAAGGGCCCCGTCTGTCCTCAGTACCCTCAGTGCCACACGAGCAGCTGCAGCTATCCCAGCACAGCCCACCTATTTATCTGACGTTCCCTCCCAGAGTCACAGCTATGACTTCATTTGGAGCCATCTAGGTGAGAGCTACAGCTGTGGGCGGGGACGGCTGCGCAGGGCAACTCACATGGTCCATCATCTGCTGGAGGCCCTGGCTGAAGGGGCACCGCCCGATGCCTACGAGGCCTTCCTGTATCTCAGGGAAGGAGATGGGCCCGATGCTGGGCACCATCCCAAACTGCTTCACCATGGAGTAAGCGATGCGCGTGACTTTCCTCAGGTCGTCCTGGGCCCCTGCAGTGTGGGGTACAAAAAGGACGGCATTCTCAGGAGCCGGCACGGCAGCACCAGCCTCGGGGTGTCAGGCGCACAGGGTGGCACTGCTCTTCCCCACACAGAATCCCCAAGACTGGGACATCTGCATCTTCTTATCACTCCCAGGAGGACTCGCAGACATGCCTGGGTTTGCAGTCAACTGCCTGGGCCACTCAGCAGTTCTCAAGCAGACCAGGTCTGAATCAGGTACCGGACAACCTGAGGTCCCTGATGAGCAGGGGCCTGTGACCACTCTGGACAGCCCAGTGGAGAACCAGCTTCGGGTCAGCTGCTTCAATTTCATCCAGTTCTGTACAGCCATGGCAGAATTAATCAACTAACACATCTGCACTGTGTAGATGTGAATCTGCACCATGTACGTCTCTCACTGATTTACCAGCCACAGATGAAGAGCAGGAGGGCCTGCAGGCTGGGCCTCACCGGAAGTGACCCGGCTGAAGGAGATAGCTTCGGCTGCACGACCACCCAGGGCCATACACATGCGCTCGAACAGCTGCTCAGTGGTGAAGAGATGCTGGTCACGGGGCAGCATCTGCGAGAAACCCAGCGCGGCGTTCGTCCGAGGTGCGATGGAGACCTGCGGAGGGCAAGGTGGTTGCACTGCTAGGAAGACATGTCCTGCTTTCGTGTAGAACAGGCCTGTCATCAGGGGTCAACACAATCAGACACGCACTGCCTTTTTTTCTTGTTTTATTTACATCACCCCATTTTTAGAACAGAAGAGAACCCTATGTCAAGGACTACCAACTCATGGGAGTATGGCAAGGGCTCCTGAGAGGTGTCCCCCTTATGGTCATGACCTGTGTGGGAGGGTGCTGGACAAACCACAGCCCTGCACTGACTGTCACAGACACACTGTCACCCACAGGGTGCTTCAAGACACACGGGAGGACGGGAGAGGGAGGTGACCTCTCCTCAGCCCACCTTGCTCCTTCTCCCTTAAGAACTCAATGGCCAGAGCACAGGAGGAGGAGTGGCCCGTGCTCCAGCGAGACCAGAATCACTGCATCATCCATGGAGCACGGGGGGCTGTGCTGGCCCAGTGATCGGCAGCGGGGGACCAGGCCAGACCCCAAGGGAAGCTGAAGATCCAGGAACACCAGAGCTGCAGTTATAGCTCAGAGGCAGAGTGCCTGCCTCCTATGCACAAGGCCCTGGATGCCATCCCTGGCACTGGAAAAACCTCTAGAACCAAGTTGTATGACGATTTACGGTTCTCAGAATTATGCCTGACCACAACTGGCTCAGTGAGCATAACTTGACAGCTGTTCCTTGAAGTACAGCACTAGGTTACCTGACTTGTAGCCATTAAATAAATGGAAAATCTGAGAACAGAGGGAAATTCAAATTGTGAAGTTCTGTTCATCTTGAGTTTTTCTGCGTTAATTTGGGTTCTTTGAGCTATCCACAAATGCACCGACTGCTGGGTACCCCAGAGCGCTCAGGAGCACTGCCCACACTGCCCACCTGGCCCTAGCCATGGGGAACTCTCAGAGCAGCACGTGTTCAAAAGAGGCGGCCGAGTAGCCTCGGCTGCCATGTCTGCTTCTCTGCTGGCGCAGGAGGAGGTGGAGTCAGGCTGTGTGTGGACACTGATCCTAACCCAAACCCTAACCCTAATCCACACCAGGCCCCTGAGGAGCAGGCCGGACCCACACCCCAACTGCCACAGCTGCCAGGAGGAAGGAGCTGCAGGTGAGAGCAAGGTTTCCAGGCACACAGAGCTCACAGTGCTGTGCTGACTTCAGGGCAGTGAGGCTGATGGTGGGCAAGGACGGCAACCTTGCCAGTCACTGCCGCCATGGCTTAGCATGAGGCACACGTCCCTTCCACCCACCTTCATCACGGCTTCTGTGTGCTCCAGCAGCCAGCCCACCAGGGCGTGGCCTGACTCGTGAAAGGCCACCACCCTCTGCTCCTCCCTGGAGAGGACCTTGCTCTTTTTGGCCGTCCCTGAAAGAAGCAGAGCCCAGTGAGTCCTGGCTCACCTCGGCCTGCCCCATGCTCTCTGAGCCCAGCACTTGGGCAGTGCTGCCTGGTGTGGGGGCCTCTTGGCCCAAATGTCACTCCTGGTGCCCCAAATCCGGGACTGCTGGGAGGAGCACAGGCAAGGTGGGCAGATCTCCTCTCATAAATGGAGGCATGGAACCACCATCCCTGCAGTGAGCCCTCAGCCCAGGAGGCCTGTGGGGCTGGGGCTTGGGAGGGCTGTCTTTGACGTGGTCACTGACACCACAGCACAGCCTCCTCCGAGTTCCCATTCCCCTGTATCTGCGCTGGTGGCTGTAACCTTACTTTACGGCTTATGAACTGACCACGTCATGCCTGGGACAACTCTCCGGTCACACCTGTGCTCAAACCTCAGTGTGGTTGCACTTCCGCAAACTTTCCAAACATCTTTGGGTTCCATTACCACACGCTGAACAGGCTCTAGGCTTACAGTGTTCAGGATTTCACCTAAGATGCAGCAGGGGTAGGGGAGTCATGCAACATAAGATCACAGGCCTCTGAGACAGGGTGCGTCTGAACAGAACTACAGGCCAGCTGGGCATCAGCAGTGGGTGCAGGCGGTACTTGCCCTCAGCACCTCGCCCATGGGAGACAGTGTCCTGTTGGTACTATGCTGTTGCCGTTTTGAGACAGGGTCTTGCTATGTTCCGGGCTGGGCACAAACACATTACATAGCCCAGGCTAGACTTGAACTCGAGATCCTACTGCCTCGGCACCCTGAGAGCTGGATTACAGCATGTATCACCATGACTGGCTGTCCTGTAGAGTTCTGAGGGCCCTACCATCCCATTCAGTCTCTGCTGCTTCGATGCTATGACTGTAAATCATGGCTCCCACAGAACAAGCAGTGAGGAGCGGTTTCTTCTCCAGGAAGGTTGGCTTCTCCCCCCACCCTGGGAACCTAGGTGCCACGTGTCCTGGGACATTCCTCCTGCAGGGACAGCATGCAGGGGACACTCTGAGCTTCTCTGACTCTGTAGCAAGGAGTGCTTTCTTTCTAATGTCCACCCATCTCAGGCTACTGTGTAGAACTGCAGAAGCTTCTGGAGGGCCTCAGGTTCAGTCCAGTTCTTCAGCACCTGTGGACCCAGCTGGGAGAAGCCCCGCCCACTGCCTGAGCACCTCATGGGCTACCAGCACTGGGCTGAGCAGCTGAGCAGGGCTGAAGTCCCAGGTGGTAGCAGCTTTGACCTTCCCAGAAAAGCAGCTACCCCTGGCCCCTGGTGGTGGAGGCAGCTCCATCAGAGCTACAGGCTCTTTTGTGTTTGGAGTGCATCTGCACCCTAGAGATCCTGAAATATCTCACCCTGAGGAAAGGGTGTAATTTTTCGCTGTTTGAAAGATGGCTGGGTGCGGTGGAACATGCCTGTAACCCCAGCCCTCTAGAGGCTGAGGCAGGAGGATGGGAGGCTGTGGCAGGATGATCTGAGGATTGCTGTGAGTTTGAGGCCAGCCTGGGCTACACAGAGAGTTCAAGGCCAGCCTGTATTACACAGCATGACTCTGACTCAAAAAATCAAAAGCAAACAAAAACAAACAAAGAAAATAGCTGGGCATGGTGTCTTGACTATAATCCTAGCACTCCAGAGGCTGGGGCAGGTGGATTGTTGTGAGTTCAAGGCTAGCCCAGGATACATGGTGAATTCAAGGCCAGCCTGGACTGCACAGTGAGACCGTCTTTAAAAAAAAAAAAAAAAAAAAAAAAAAAGGAAAACACAGCCGTGATGTGGTGGAGGCCTTAGATTCATTATCCAATACCAGAAAAAAAAAAAAAAAAAGACAAAGCTATTTAAAGGATGCTGTCCTAGCCTGGCCCTGCTCCACCCGCCCCATCTGATTCCTTTTGTACAGCAGCTCCATCTGCTATTTCTGGGCTAATCCTGCCGACCAAACAAACCTCCGCAGGGCCAGTCCTACCTGCCACGACCCGCTCCACGGCGTACTCAAAGTCCAGCGTGTGCACGGATGAGCGCCCCTCCCGGGCAGCGTGCAGCGCGGCCTCATTGCAGATGTTGGCGATGTCAGCGCCTGCAACACAAGCAAAGCCTGGGCAGCGAAGGGACAGAGGGGCAGGGAGGCTGAAACATGGCCAGCCGAGTGCCTTGGGCCATGGGCCAGTGGGAGGCAGACATGGGGACGGGTAAGTGTCAGACCGGCCACGGCAGGAAGCAGCTGGCTGAGGAACTGTCTCGCCTGCACACTCAGATGTCACTGTTACAGCACAGGTCTCCTCTCTGTCACCCAGTGCTTCACTCTGACATTTCATAGGGGCACTGATGGAGAAGCCAAGGGCTTAGAGACAAACTAATCAAAGGGAAGAAACAGTAAGAAAGATTTTTATTTACATTAGTTTGTTGGTGTATGTGGGACTGGGGATAGGACCCAGGGCCTTCACCAGCCCTTTTTATTGACTGACTGACTGCTGTGCTGGACATCAAGCCCAGGGCCTCAGCATGCTCTGCAAAGGTTTACCACTGAGCTACATTCCCAGCCGCCTTTCATTTTTGAGGTGCGCCTTGTTAAGCCACTTAGCTATTCAGGCTAGGCTTAAACCTGTGATCCTCCTGTGTCAGCCTTCTTCTCACCCAGCCCCATGATATCTGCTTCTTGCGACTTGATTTGGAGGCTGGGGACTCAGGCTGGACTGGAAGTTCTTGAGTGACAGCCACATGACAGCCACGACACAGGGCCCCACAGGTGGAAGCACAGGGCCTACCACAGGGGACACTGCTGGAGACGAGGACCTGACTGCCACCTACAGAGCCGGTGTGGCTGCAGGACTGATGTGGGAAGAGAAGGGCCTGTCTACACTGCAGGTGCAAGGAGGGTGCGGCCAACCCGGAAACGTACCACTGAATCCTGGCGTCAGCTCCGCCAGCCGCTGCGAGTAAAAGCTGCTCTCTTGGGTTAGCTTCAGGACCTTCAGGTGCTGTTCGAAAATCTCTCGCCGCTCCTACAGTGGGAGACATGGGCTGCACACAGGGCCACTGGCACGGTGCCGGGGACCCCTGGGGTCACAGGCACCTCGGGCGTGAGTCAGTGTTCGCGGTCCTCGTCACGATCCATGGTCTGGGAGAGCAGTCAGAGAGCTTCGAGCAGTGTTCGGGAGGGAAGGGAAGTAGGCTAGAACACGAGACACATGGCACACGGCAAGGGTTTAACTTGGTAAACCCTGTGGCCCCCACACATCCTGTGCACTCTCAAGGGTGTCCAACCTTTAGGCTCGCCTGGGCCACTCCTCTTGCCTAAGAAAGTGTCCTAGGCTGCATCGAAATGGTAATAGTTAACGTGCAGAACAAAATTTCCTCTTTTTTTCTTGCAAATGACTCTGCGGGGGCTTTCTGCTGAGCTGCTTTATAAAATGTGAGACAGGGTCTGGCTAAGGTGCCCAGCCTAGGCTCAAACTTTTGGTTCCCCTGCCTCAGCCTCCCAGGGCATAGCACGTGTCTGGCTACAGTTGCGTTTTATTTTTTAAATTTATTTTTTATTTCTTTTCCTGGTACTGGGAATTGAACTCTGGACCTTGTGCTTGCCAGACAGGCACAGTGCCACTGAGCTACATCCCCGCTCTCCTCTTACTGTTTTTTTAAAGACAAGGTCTCAATATGTACTTTGAGCTGTCCTTGAACTCACAGTTACCCTCCTGCTTTGGCCTCTTGAGTGCTGGGATTATAGCATGTACCACCACACCCAGTTTAAAATTTCCTTTTTAAAATATTTTTGTAGCTGGGCATGGTGGTGCATATTTATAATCCCAGCACTCAGGAGGCTGAGGCAGGAGGATCACTTTGAGTTTGAGGCCATCCTAGGCTACACACTGAGTTCAAGGCCAGCCTGGACTACACAGTGAGATACTGTGTCAAAAAACAAAAAACAAAGTTAAAGGCATTGTAAATCTAGTTGCAAGACACATTGCAGGACTGTTAAAAAAAAAAAAAAAAAAAAAAAAAAACACAAGAAAAACCTAAAAAAAATTATTGTTTTTAACATTAAATGAAATAACAGGGCTGGGGATTTATCTCAGTGGTGCTGCACGTGCCTTGCAAGTGCAAGGTCCTCAGTTTGATCCCTGGCACTGGAAAAAAAATGAAATAACAGAAGCCCAAGTTTAATAAATAAGAAAAGCTATAATCCCAGTACTCAGGAGGCTGAGGCAGGAGAGTTCAAGGGCAGCCTGGATGACATAGTGAGATCCTGTCTCAAAAAAAAAAAAAAAAGAGAAGCTGGGCATGGTGGCACACGCCTGTAATCCCAGCACTCGGGAGGCTGAAGCAGGAGGATCGCTGTGAGTGAGAGACCAGCCTGGGCTACATAGTGAGTTCCAGGTCAGTCTCAACTACACAGAGAGACCCTGTCTCAAAAAAAAACAAAAAAAAAAGAAAAGGGCTGGAGATCTAGCTCAATGGCACCACACCTGCCTCCGAAGTGCAAGGCTCTAAGTTTGATCCCTAGTACCCAAACAAAAGAAACAGGACTAGATGAGCTAGAGGGTTGGCCACAGTACAAATGCTCTCACACAGATGTACAGTACGAAGGGTGGAATTACTATCATCAGTATCACTGGGTTTTGCTCTCCAAACCACACGAGTGTGTGCAGTCAGATATATTTCAATTCGCCCTCCCTGTGGTGTTCTGCTGTCACCTCCGCAGTTGGTGCTAAGTACCATGTAACTGAATCATAACAGTGCTGAAACTTCCACGGCTCAGCTCATACTTGTGTGGAGCTGCACTGCTAGCTGTCCAGGGCTGCCTGACCCCCAGGCCACATGCTGGACACACCCGTTATCTCCTGGCACCCAGTGCCTCCCACAGAGACTGGCAGCCCATGGTGGAGCCAGCAGACTGCTGGGGTGCAGGAGCTTGCAGCTCATGCCTGTATGGAGCGGCAGAACTGGCTGACCAAGCCCCAGACTTTCTCCCCACCTCCCAGGACTCCTGCTCCCTCAGGCCACAGAGAAAGCCTCTGCCCAGGTGGAGCCAGTCCAACCAGGGGCCTGCAGACAGGAGGTTGTCCAGGCATCAGGATGCCCTCTACCTGCTCCAGAGGCAAATCAAGTTCTTCTGTGGTATTGGGGACGGAGCCTTGGGTGTCCTACATGTGGGAGCACTACCACTAAGCTACACCCTGGTCCTTACTTAAAAGTTTTTAATTTTTTTTTGAGACAGGATCTTGCCTAGGCTGGCCTTGAACTTGCAGAATTTTCCTGCCTCAGCCTCCTGGTGCTGGGATACAGGCATGAGCCACTGTGCCCTGCTTAAAGTTTTAAATTTTTGAGACAAGGTCTTGCTAAATTGCCCAGGTGCCCTCAAACTTGTGTTCCTCCTGCCTCAGCCTCCCAAGGAGTTGGTGTTCCAAGGTATGCACCAACACACTGGACCAAAGCCAAGCTAAGGGAGGCAGGAGGAACACACCAAGGGTCCCCACAGAGATTGAATGGGACACAGAGGATGTGCAGTGTGGATTTTCCTTTCCTAGACTTGGTTCCAAAGAGAAGATCCAGATGGGCATAGTGGCCTACACCTGTGAACCTCAAGAGGCTGAGGCAGGAGGATCACTGTGAGCTCAAGGCCAGCCTGGGCTACACAGTGAGACCCTATCTCAAAAAAACAAAAAGTAGACCCACACCAGACCACCAACCCCAACCTGAAGGGCAAAATCAGCAATGGGTTAAGTACAAGCTGGCTGCCAACCAAGCAAGGGCAGCAGGTCAGGTGAGCAGATGGCACCAGAGAGGATGTGTGCTCTGGAAGCATGGGCACCAAGCCCCAGGCTGCCTGCCCGACTCCGGAGTGCTGACCTGCAGCGTGGGAAGATCGATGAAGACATGCCGGTCCAGGCGCCCAGGCCTCATCAAAGCACCATCCAGGATGTCAGCTCGGTTTGTGGAGGCCAGGACAATGACGTGGTCTGTGGTGCCCATTCCTGGGGACAGACAGACACGGAGACCTTCAGGATGGGCATCGCGGCAGGAGCAGTGCGAGGAGCCCTCACTGACTACCGCCAACCACACCAGCAGCTGGGCCTGCCCTCCTCCCAGGAGCAGGGCAGTGTCACGCAAGTATCCCACGTCATGGCACCTCCACCGTGATGTGCTAATGCTGTCTTCAGTAGCTGGCCTCCAGCCTCGGTTTTAGACCTGACTTCTTACCCAAGAAGTTAGATGTGGATTCAGAAAGCCCAGTGTGATGGCACATGCCTGTAGTCCCTGCTACTCAGGAGGCTGAGGCAAGAGGACCGTGAGTTCAAGGCCACCTGAGCAACCTGGCAAGGAGCTCGATCTCAAAACAACACCAAAACAAAGTGGGTTCAGAAACTCATTGGCTGAGCTGTAATCCCAGTGCTCTGAAGGTTGAAGCTGGAGGATCACCATGAGTTTGAAGCCAGCTTGTGCTACTCTATGAGACCCTGTCTCAAAAAACCAAACCAAACCAAAACCAAAACAGGACCCCAAAAATGACCCCCCAAAAGAAAATGCCTGGGCTGGGGATTTATTTAGCTCAGTGGTTCCGCCGCCTGCCTCATAAGCACAAGGTCCCAGGTTCAATCCCCAGTACCGAAAGAAGAAAAAAGAAAAAGAAAGAAAAGAAAATGCCCATTACCACAAGGACCTCAGCTTCACCGCCATGCCTCTACCTAAACCCTGATGGGATTAACCTGTTGTCTCAGTTTTGTCATTCTGACATCACTGAATCGGAAATCTATGTTGTAGTCTTTGAGACTGGCTCTTCATTCAGCAGAATTCCTATATTGAGTTGAGGCAGGAAGGAAGCTGCTTCTTCTTGTTTTTTTGCAGTTCTGGGGATCAAACTCAGGACCTTGCACTTTCGAGGCAAAGGTGGTGCCACTGAGCTAAATCCCTGGCCCTTTTTTTTAGTATATGTGCTGCAAAGTGAGCACATCCCGGCCTTTTTATTTTTTAGATAGGGTCTAACGAGGTAGCCTAGGCTGCCCTTGAACTCATAATTTTCCTGCCTCCTGAATGCTAGCTGGGATTATAGATGTACAGTCCATGCCCGGCTGAAACTTTCTTTTTATTGCTATATTGCATATAATACATCTTTTTTATGTACTGGGGATCGAACCCAAGACCTTGTGCTTGCAAGGCAGGGGTGGTGCCAGGGCTAAATCCCTGGTCTATATTGCATACAATAAGGACACATCAGAGTTTAATTATTTACCCACTGAGTGAGTACACTTGGGCTATCTACGGGATTTAGCTACTACAGATAAGTAACAGCGGTACAGGCAGCTGGCACCACCTGCTCTGTGCTCTGGGGTGTGGAATGGACTAGGCTGGCTGGCCGGAGAGGCTGGGCACAGGAGTCTAGCTTCTCTGCATCAGGTAGCACCTGGTGCCATCTGAGTTCTCAGTCTACCCGCCCCCTGGTATGTCTTCCCCTCAAATTCAGCAAGAGGGCTGGGGATTTAGTTCAGGGGCATCGCAAATCAGGTCCTGAGTTAGATTCCTGGTACCAAAA